GAAGCAGCAGACACTGATGAAAATTATAAGTTTCATTGCTGGAGGAAGTTATGCAGTGTCTGCGGTGACCTCAACGGATAACGACTGGAAAAGTGCTCGACGTTGGTCATTTTTATCTTTTATATACTGAATATTTTCGGACAAAACAGGATCATGGTTGCACACGAATACATTACTCATACGAAAGAAGAAACGGATCTCAATCTGTCGGCTCGTTCCGTCAACCGTCAATTCCTCGAACAATACGCCAGCAGCATTCATTGCGTACGTATGTCAATTCTAGATGAATAACAATAGGTGGTGGGGTCGCTTCTTTTGTTTCATTAATCCAATTATGTAATGAACCAGATCAATCATTTTCATTGATGTTGTTGTTTTTGCTTTTGTTAACGTTATCGTCACCATTCACTTTGATTTATGTGTTCTGATTAAACATGCAATTATGGGTCTTTTGTTTTCTTTTAAAAACTAAAAAATTGGAACTTCTGAAGAGAAAGGACACTAATGCTGCACTGATAATGAACCGGTTCTAGTACATAATATGCGTTTGACGTACCCGAGTTTTGTACCGATTGCATTTCCCTATCTGAATACTGCACATAACATTTCCGAGCGCATTTCCATCCTGATATCAGTATCGCCTAGGGGTATATCGCTGCGGTGATTACTGGTCGCATATATTTTCCTCTAACTATCTAGTTTTAGCGAATAAGATTTCTCTTTCGTTGTGATCAACGAATTTCCGACTAAGGTATTCGGAAACAAAATTTTATGCGATCATATGCATGAGTTACGAGTTCTCAGAAACAATAGAACTTGTCTTATCGATAACCTTCAATGATAAAATGTTTCATTGACATTGAAAGGTGATTACTCGTTTATCATGATGCATTCACCACATCTCGTTGACACATTCAAACCAGATGGAAAACCATCAGAAACCATTTTAGAAATTTCACTTTTGTAAATTTCTATACGCATAGCTGACACTTGTCAATTTAAATCGTGACCAGACGATTGTGGGTAATGAAATTTATAATTGCATTGCACAGCTGATCGATTCGATGTCTCGACGAATAGAGTAATTTATCTCGAGGATCGCCAGACTGAATATTGAATGATAGGGTACTGGAGATTGAATAATAGGATTATTCTCCAGTACCCTATTATTCAGTTTTCCATAGGAAGATTGAATAATAGGTACTGGAGAATAACCGACACACAAATAATGCTCGCATGAGATGATAACGCACTGAATAGAGTGGCAGGATATTCAATAAAAAAACATCCATATTTGATGGTATTAAAACGATTTTTTACCGAAACTTTTTCCTCTCAATTTTACTGATTAATGTGATTTTATTGCGATAATATTTGATAATCCATCACAGCAATGCATCATGCAATGTCTCTGAATGTTTACTTGGTTGTTTTTCGAATCTGATGATGCATTCATCATTTTCGTCGTTTGTACACTACTTAATACCGTGACCGGTCAATCTGCCTAAAGACATTTAGCCTAACGACGGTTTGCCTAAAGACACATTGCCTAACGGACAGTTTGTCCAGATTACGGTTTTTCAATAGATATTTCGCCCAATAGGTAAACCGTTCCTTAGGCAAACTATCCGTTCGGCAATGCGTCTTTAGGCAAACTGTCGTTAAGCTAAATGTCTTTAGGCAGATTGACCGGCAACCATCTAATACAGAACAAAAATGTGATCTGGATATTGAACATTTGAGCGGTTCAGGATACCGAAGTGAAATGTTCGGAAAACTTCTACATAAAATAGGCCGAAGGCTTCGATAACGCCGCGCTCATGTCTTGTCCGTTTTCAATGTTAGAGCAAAAGCGAGAAAGTCCATTTACTTGTTATATTTAATTGGTGTAAGTGTAACAAATGCATGAAACATCGTCGCTATATGATCGTAAACGTTATCTGCATTAAAACCAGACCCATCATCGCTGTGTCCCGTCCCTTGCATGCGTCCTTGAAAGATGTTACAATCGAAGCATTTATCTAATGCAACTCCACTGTAATATTCTCACAACATCACTTGTATACTCATACATATTTTTGCATCGAATTTTATTATTGCTCGTCCTTTTGGTTCACCAATTGTTCGCACATCCTTTAGAATTTTCTGTCTAGAAACCGGCCAATACTTCATAGTTAATGCAAAAAAACAGGTCACTCCGCAATATTCANCATATTCATGATCTAGGAATAATTTAAATTCCGAAATGGTTGCTGTGGTGAGAAAAATTATCAGTGAACGTTCTGCTCTGTGCATATCGATCGACGATTTAATGTGCTGCTGCATGTTCATTGTTGATTCATGCCGTATCTGAGCCAGAAGATCAGCTGGAGGCCGTATCTTCTGCTAAGATATGAGAAACGTTTCTTGCAGGATCCTAGCGTACTACTAGCAAACCAGGTGATTTTCACCAGCAATGAACGGAACTAAAAATCGTCTCAAACAAGGCAGCCGAGTGGTGGTGATCGGTAGCGGTCCAACTGCAATGGGTGCAGTGCATCGTATTTTTCAACTCATTGAAGATGGCCATCTTAGCACAAACTCATTGCAGGTGCTAATAAATAATTACATATGTAATTTTTTTTTATTGCTCGTCCTCTAACTACCTCTAACTATATATCTTGCCACATACGAACACGGTGAACAACAATGCTACACTAGCATTTGTGACACCACTTACGACTTACAATAAAATTCAGCATTCTATCATTTATTGCGGCGGTGTAGCGTTGCACTCAGCGAATAATGATATAAATGTTGATCAAATAGTAATATAGTTTTATTGACAATGTATTACCAGCGCAAATAGAGATGTCATTTACAAAGTTCAACGTTTCGGCGTTATGCCATCTTCAGGAACACGTTGTTGAATCACTGACGGTGGTCGTACGTATTCGTTGGAGAGATCCAGGGTCAGGGATTATGGGGCAGTAGGTGGGAGATTATCAATGAGACGATTGGAGATTACAATAACTGTGACATAGGATGAAATTGGGGAGATAAACATTAACATGGTGATGAAAGCAAATAAATAAACGTTTATAAATGTTTTGTAGGAGGTTGTTTTTTGGGAATACGAAGAGGTTTTTTCTAGGTTACCGTCATCGAAAGAGAACGCGAAGCAGGTGGATTAGCGCGCTCGATTACTGACTCGAATGGTTTCACGTGGGATCTTGGGGTACATGTTACGGGCACCAGTAGACATCAGGAATTCGCGGAATTGCTCGATAAGTCAGTGAAACGATGGAATAAAGTTCGACGATCGGTGAAGGTCACTTATCGGATTCCAATGAAACCATATTTCATCCTTCAGACTCCAAAATTTTACGAGTGATTAATTGAAATTCGAAAACTGAGCGTAGCTGTGTTGAAATTTATTCAAGCAGCTGCAGTATAGCAACAGCATATGGCATTAGCTGGATTGTATAAGAAAACTAATCATATTCCAGGCTGACCTATCGGAAATATTCAATGACCCGGAACCCCATCGTAACTATGTGCCATATCCTGTGCAGAATGCAATTCCGTATTTCCCAGATAGATTGAAAGAGCAATGTTTAAATGAGTTGAAGTGCTTGAAACCACCAACTGATGCGAGTACGTCGTCTAATTTCGCGGATTACAGTCTGCAGTTTTTCGGTCCAACGCTTCAAGATGTCTTCATCAGACCATATAACATGAAAGGTAAACAACCTAAGCAAAAGCAGTTGAACTTAACCTCGGATTCGCTTTTAACGTTCGGTAATTTGCAGTATAAGAGATCGATTGCAATTCATCTGCGAAGAACATAATCAATCCTTTAGGAAATTTATCAGCAGTTTGATCTGAGATCATTACCTCTTATCTGAATTTATCACGGTATCTCCGGATAATNGGTCGCGTGCCCAGCTTAGATTTGGAAAAGACTGAAGAACGATCCCGAAAAAGCCGCGAGAGACTTGAAGAGGATGACAGTAAGGCTCCGTTCACGTGTTTCAGGTATCAGTTTCCGAATGCTTCATTTGATGTGTGAGGATCTCTGGATCGATCCGCTAAGGCTCGACTTAACATTCAGCTGTAGATGCATGATGGTTTACGAAATTTCATCAACATTTGACAACACAATCTGATAATCCTCAGATGAAAACTAGTATCATTGAATCGGTGATCGAATTCGGAATATCAGAATTCCACAAACGCATTCAGCTCTTGTTTATTCAGGTATCCCCAAGAGCTAAGAGGCATTGGACCAATTTGGAAGATTGTTGCGAAGTCATTTCCTTGCGAAATATTTCATTTCAATGAAACCGTTCAAAGGATCGATGTATCAACTAAAATGGTCCTTATTTGATACTCTCTATTGTGCCTAAAGTATTCCCTTAAAATGCGTAGCTCATCCAGTCTCTTCCATGTTCTCCGTTGTAATTTTCCGTTATTATCAGAGCAATAACAGTTTCATTTTCCACTCAATACTTACGACCAAAACATTCCCTCGTAAGGATATGCTGCATGTTATTTGTGCGCAAATCAGATCTGTAAATTTCGAAATCTCATGAAAGTACTTTTTGAGCAATTGCAGAATCTGTAATAATTCTGCTACGTTGTTATCAGGTAGAGACAAAAGATTCGAGTGGTGAAGAGCATCACTACCCTTACGACTACATCTTATCAACCTTACCAATCACCGAACTCGGCAGAATATCGTCTTTGGTTGAGTCCAGTACCCTCAAGTATTCAAAGGTACAACTCAATGAATTCCTAAAATATTTGGCATTTACTTTTGATATCAAAGATGTATGCTTGTTGTATGCCAAACACATGTCAACACCAGGCATTTTATTGAAAAATCTGGTTCATCAAAAAAGCAACAAGAAATTCGACTGTAACAATGTGAAGTGATCTGCTTCGACGAATCGATCATTGCAGAATTTCAGCTCCATTACATTCCAAAATTACAAAATCACCATAAAATTATCATTTTCGAATACCAAATATGGTAAAGCTCATTTTTTGCACTGATGATCTGTATGCAACGTTGAGGAGGGCATGTGGCAATTAACATTCACTTTCTTTTAGGTCATTTTGATTGGCATTGGTCTTCGATATCCGCAAAGTGAATGGGCGCAGTCTGTCAGTTGGGCATACTATCCGTACAGAGATACCGTCTTTTATAGGTTTATTAATGATCTGTGTTGAAATACTCTCCCAACATCGCAAAGAAAAGCTCATCGGATCATGAAAACACATATTTAATAAGTCATTTCGAAATTTAAGCCACTGTTTATGTTTCCACCTTAAAGCATTATAAAGAAGCAAATGAGTGATCATTGAGAGTGATTATTAGCGAACATTAGAAAGTGTTCATCCGATTGGTTTGTTTAAATCGATATTCATGAATGCGGTATGATGAAAATGTTGTTACGCTAATTTGCTGAGCATTCTTCTTTCAGATGCACTTTCATTTCGAATTTCAACGATTACCTCACTCCAGACTGTGATGAATTTTGGTCGGTTCTTTGTGAGATCGGTCTTGAGGCTCATCAAGAATTCGATCGTGATCAATTAATCACGAAAACTATTGAAGGTTCACTTTTGCTTCAATTCGAGCGTCCAAGTGTTTTCTGTAGCTTATGTGCCTCATGAAAACTTCATAGAAACCTTTGAATTCTCAAGCAATTCCAATAGCCTGCTCCTTGTG